AAAAAAAAAAAAATTGTCCACTCAAGTGCGTAAGATAAAAAAAATGTGAAGAAAGGCTTTAGTGAGTTCATATTCCCGAGTTGTTGAAAAAGCACAAAAGGATCATCTATACAGGTATTTGTTGGAAAATTTTAGACTTTATTTGATTTAATTATTACTAATAATTGATAACTGTAATTATTAATTAATAATTAATAAAATAAAGATTTTTTTATCCTGATGAAATGAGCCAAACCTGTAAGGGGAGCTCGTGGGCCCTCCCATGTGGGGCGCATTTGTTTTTGTTTGCCTCAGTGGTACGGGACCAACCTGAGGTAGCTTTCCCAGCAGGGACCTCGGGTTCGATCCCTGCTGGGAAGGCTACCTCAGGTCGGTCCCGTACCACTGAGGCCAAACAAAAACAAATGCGCCACACATGGGGGGGCCCACGAGCTCCCCTTACAAAAAGGCCGGCCTTTTTTGCCAAGGGCTCAAGTGGTACCAAGGTCACCCGTGAAATCCTCTTAAGGGAGGAGTCCCACGGGACCTCAGGTTCGATCCCTAGGGAGGCTACCTTAGGTCGCTTGAGAGCACTGAGGCCAAATAAACAAATGCGCCAAGCCTAGGAACGGCCCCACGAGGTACCCCTGGCAAAAAGGCTGACCTTTTTGTAAGGGGAGCTTGTGGGCCCCCCCATGTGGGGTGCATTTGTTTTTGTTTGGCCTCAGTGGTACGGGACCGACCTGAGGTAGCCTCCCCAGGGATCGAACCCGAGGTCCCGTAGGACTCCTCCCTTAAGAGGATTTCACGGGTGACCCTGGTACCACTTGAGCTGACAAAAACAAATGCGCCCCACATGGGGGGCCCACGAGCTCCCCTTACAAAACCCTACACTTCTTTTGAAACGGCCAAACCCTACACTTCTTATTGCAATATACTATTATAATAATTCAATAATTTAACAATAATTTGATGCTTCTTAAATTTTTTTATTTTTGAACATTTTAGTCAATGGGCCCGCTCGAACCGTTGCCCTTGAAGAGGGGGATATAAACCTTATAAGAGTAAGTAGAGTCCCTTGACCCACAAGGCCAGGTTCAATGCTTCTTAAATCTTTGATTCATCATTATATATATATGAGAAAGAATTTATTTACATATAAATTTTACATATTAAATATATATAAAATTTTAATCATTTATATTTTCACTTTCAATACTTGAAATTTATCATATTTTTTAAATAAAAAATAATTATATTTAATAAATGTAAATAAATATTAATCACTAAAAGTAGAAAGATGAACGATTAAGATTTTATATAATATAGTATATAAAACTTATATGGAAGTTAATCTCTACTATATATCTAAGTTTAGTGCTTGTTAACTTAAATTTCAAAAAGCAAAAGGAAGAACACCCTCAAATTACGTCATTTTATTAAAATACTACAAAAAAATTCTAAAATAAATTCATTTTAGTTTTTAAAAAATAAGGTATTCTAGTTTTTTTAATAAGAGTTTATTAAAGCAGCTTAATTTTAAGATTTTTTTTCTAATTTTTTAATGTTCTAACTAACAAATACTTTTCTCTATATGTATATATATGGAAAATGATTAGTACACTCTCCATATCAACACACTTAACAATACCCTCCGGTTCAATTGTCAAAATTTGCTTTTGAAAATTTTTCCATTTTAAATTTAAATTTGAAAATATTAGTTTCTTTGTGAATAAACT